CTGCTCCACACCAAAGGGAACCACGTAATTTTATCAGCTACACCAGATAGAATACTGTAAGTAGCAGCAGCGCTAAACTCTGGTTTATTGCTTTCCATCTAACTGAGCCTTGAGAACAATCAACATATAATAAGACATCATTCTTAAGTTTTAGAATTTTTTTAAAAACCCAGGAGAAATGAGATTTAGATTCAACATCCCAAATAGAACTCTTGAGGTAATATCCATGTATCCATCTAACCCAGAGCGAATCTCTTGCATAAGCAAGATAGACCATAAATTCTTCAAAATTGTAGGGTGAAAATTTGATCTCCCGAAAACAGGGAATGCTCGTTTGTATTAATAAGAAGGCTTATTACAAACTAACAAATCAAATGATTACAACAGAAGCAGAGGGAAAGCCCTCTTTGTTTAACGTGGGTTCCTCGGTGGCGATAGGACGCTTCGCTCGATGCTCGTGTCGAGTCTGCTTCCCTTGGACGATCCGATCGAAGTTGCTGCCGGAGCTTCAGTTCTCAAATGAGGGAGCCTTTGGCAAAGGTCCAGGTTCAACCTTTGGGAGATTAGCCAGCAGAATATGCAACAGCCAACTCCCCCTTTCATGCTGGCTGAAGATGGGTTTTAGTAGGCAATGGATGACCTGGGCCATCCCTTGATTCATGGGATTTGACCATGTGAGGGAGACAGCTTGACTGCTCCTTGAATTTAATAGAGGTGAGGGAGATAGCTTGACTGCTCCTTGAATTATGGGATGTGACCACACGTTGTTCGGAGACGTCCTGCTGTTCATTCGTACCGTCAATGGTCATTCGAAGAGCTGTGCTCTGCATCACGCTACATAGGAGTGGGAAAGCCCCTCCTCGTATGCGTGACAACGGCTGTCAGATGCTTGCGTGGATCTGACCAACCACCGAGCGTTGGCGGCTCTCGTCCCTTCACCTGGACAACTGAGGTGAGCCGCATTTATGAGGGTGCAGGCTGTTTCGGCGCCTGTCCGCTCATTCGTACTGTGGACGGCCATCTGACGGGCCTGGAGTATTGTGCCCTCTCCCTTGATTTGTGGGATTTGACCACTGATGTAACTGTTCCCATACTCCAAGTGGGCAGTTGACAGTGAGCTGGCGAGTCCGCAGCTTGGGTCTGCAGGCGAGCTTAGGACTGCAGACAGACTTGGGTCTGCAGGCGAGCTTGCAGGCGAGCTGAGTCTGCAGGCGAGTTTGGGACTGCAGGCAGACTTGGGTCTGCAGGCGAGCTCAGGTGCGCAGGCAGACTTGGGGTCTGCAAGCGGATTTGAGACTGCAGGCAGAGCTGGGGATTGCAGGCAGACTTGGGTCTGCAGGCGGATTTGAGACTCGCAGGCAGACTTGGGTCTGCAGGTGGATTTGCGACTGCAGGCAGACTTGGGTCTGCAGGCAGACTTGGGGACTGCAAACGAACCTGGGTCTGCAGGCGATCCTCAAGCCGTTAGGCGAGCTCTATAGTATGGGTCGAAGAATAGGCCGTAACTTTCAAACCGTAAGTCGGAATTGGACGAATTATATATGAAAATCGCCTATCTCGACGAGATGGGGCCATCCGAACCGAGCCGAAGGCTTCGGTTCGCTTCCTCCGTTTCGCCAAATTCCTTACGGTTTGGGAGATATCTGCGTTTTCTCCTTTTTCTGCTATTTCGGGCGAGGTTTTAGCAGTTTTGTTCTGAACTTCTCTGATAAGGATTAAAGGCAATTTTTATTGCCTACAAAAATTAATCCTTTGTTGAGTTTGTATACCTCCTGAAGACCTAGACCCCCACAGTTCTTAGGCAACCAAACTTTAGTTCAAGCAACACTGGCCCTTGTATGTTGTCCGTAAGTGCCAGTCCATAGATAGTCTCTGCATAATTGTTCAACAGTCTTGATCTTGATAATCTTCTTAGGAAGCAGGAGAATACTGCTCCAATACGAGTGCATACTATATATAACTGACTTGATCAGTTGGTAATTGGCCACCAAATGATAAAAATCTAGATGTCCAGTGCTTGATCTTGGTTACAATTTTCTCAATGAGAACCCTGCAATCATCAGTAGATGGACCCTTAGATGAAAGAATGATTCTTAAATATTTCACAGGGAGGGCCTTCAACAAATAGCAAGCGTTGAAGAATTTGGTGCTTAACATTAGTTGATACTTGATACTCCTCCAAAGAAAGCTTGACTTTTGTCACATTGATACTCAACCCAGATGCCATAGGAAAATGTTGAAATATCATATGTCGCTGCTGGATGGACATTTGATTACCTCTACAGAATAATATCAAATTATGAGCAAAGCATAAGTGTGTAAGCTTGTTCTTGTGGCATTTAGGATGGAATTTGAACTTCTTATCTTCCCCCAAATCAGAAAGAGTTCTACTCAAATACTTCATGGCCAAGACAAAAAAAAGTAGGGTAAAATAGGATCACCTTGCCGAATGCCTCTCCTCCCTTCAAATTGATGCTCGGTTGACCATTCACAATAATAGAGTATGATGCATATGCACTCCATAACCCACTTCCTAGTTTTCTGAGGAAAATCCAGTCCGTGCAAAACAGAGTTAATGAAATCCCAGTTGATGGAATCGTAAGCCTTTCTAAGATCAATTTTAAGAGTGCATCTGAGAGAAACATTTTCACTCCCATACATATGCACAAGCCCCTGTGCCATTAAGACATTGTGTACAATGCTCCTCCCTTTAATGAAAGCCCACTTATTCTCGCTAACAAGCATAGCGTAATTTTCCTAAGCCTATGAGTCGGAACATTAGATATACATTTGTATTATATTGCAGCAAACTGTAGGTCTATAATCAGCGTAAGAATTCTTGTTCAGTGTTCCCTTGTGTGGTCACATAATATATACTGTAATACAGGCAATTTTAATTTACATTGGCCCTCATCAGTTATTAATATCTATTTTTAGGCTCATTTTACTACTAGTTGGTTCTTATCAGACACTTATAGGATGATATGATTATATAAAATATATCCCAGTACACCGCAATGTATTTAATATTTACCATCATGTAGTATATGTATTTAGGCATGAGTGAAGGGTATGTTGGTCTGGACACATTTTCCAAGCACAGTGTAGACTTCATGCTGATCTGTTTAACATTTAATATGAATTAGATTATATCAAGCTCTTTAGCTATTTGCTTAGCTTGATGGTTAATTCTTATTAGAGATATTCAGCTGTGTGGGAGAGTTTTCTGGGTATCCCTGAGGTTTACCAACTTGTAGAGCAATCTATGGCTAACGGCGGGACCTTCAGATTTTGTCAAATATTTTCTTTAGCCTTTCCAATTACATATCCAATCTCTGGTTCAAAACTATATATGAGGTGACAGATGGTCACATCTATGATTGTTAATAAGTTCTGCATGTTTCTTTGATTTTGAATTTGTGACTTATTTCTGGCAATAGAACTCAAGAAGTCAAATACCCTATATTGGCACGTGTAACTTGTGAGACGAAACAACTTTGAAACCTGCTGCATACTCCTGTATAGTGAATGGAACTGTAATTCTGGCTTTTGGATTATTGGGGTTTTCAAGTGCTATGAGATAGAAATTGTGACCATGATAAAAATCCTTTTTGGCTTTATCAGGAAAACCACTTGATGTTCCAAATGCAGTTGTTATTATATAAAATAAAAATGACATATATATCTTAATTCCATCAAGAACATTCTCCTTCCGTACTTGGTGCATGCATAAACGTCAATTGCGCCTTTAGCATGTCTTAAATGTTATTGTCAAAGCTATATAACTCGGAAAGCTTATAGTGTCATTGTTTAATGTTTATTCAATACTCTTTCATTGAATGCACCTTTAGTGATAGACTGATAGGTGTGTTTAGACTTTGGATTATTTGTCCTGATGAGCTCTTTTTTGCTTGGTTTTACCAAATACCTAGACTTCCTTATCATAGCTTGCTGCGATGTCTTCACGGTGATATGTTTAAATTACACAAACATAAAATGACCAGTATGACACAGTTAACTGGTTTGCATGTATAATTTGATATTAGGTACTCTCCACTACATAACGTGCAAAGACCGTGGGACAGAGATCTTAACAAGTCTTCTCAGTATCCATCTACTTTGCTGTTGACTGCTGATCACGATGATCGGGTTGTGCCATTACATTCACTAAAGTTATTAGCTGTAAGTGCCTTCGCTTTCTGTCAATTAAGGACTTCACCTTTTAGATATGATACAAGTCTACAAGAGTTGATTAAAAATCTATCAGAATTTGCTTCTTTATTGACTGAGTACTTATGTTTATAATACAGATATAGATGAGTAAATTTCACTTTCATTCTTTTTTGCAATTTCTGATGAAAAGTTTACACAGTGCTAGTAGCTCTTTTTGTTGTTAGCGCATTTATCTTAGTAGTAACTGTGAATAAATTATTTCTATGGAAATACTTTAAGGGTAACTAGCATGCCATTTACGCATACTTGTGGTGCTCTTGTGAGTCGAGACTGTATGGAGATGATTAACCATTTTGGAAGACATTTTCTTTTCTGAATTTGTTAATATTTTATACCTTTATTTTGTGCACATTTTTTCTGCAATATTATATGTCGTGATATTTTGACAAATACAAGGAAAAAACTTAGCAAAAGTTAGAGAGTCTTCATAATCACATGTTCATTTTATGTGCACCCGCCATTACTAAGCAATTTATGTCGCCATTATCGTCAAGCATAACTTAACCTGGAAAAAATTATACTCTTATGCATTTAAAACCTTTAACATGATAACATTATATCAACTGACATAATTTATAGAGATTATATTAAATATGGTAATCACCATTCATTAAATCTTAAATTTAAAAACTGAATTCCCGAGAGATGAAAATGTCATATTCTGCATGGAGAAAGCATTGTCTTGATGACAGCCCTTCATTGTAAACTGTGATACCCCCATTTAATTGTCCCACATCTGGAAATTAAGAAAGTGTGGATGGATTTATAAGCTATAAGTCATGAGAGCCAAGCGTATCAATAGTTAGTTATTGCTGGCAGTAGTTTGAGCCTAACTGTGTATTGCAGTTGGTGGTTCCTAGGGTTTACATTGCGCCAACGGGCTTGTGGGTTTGGGGCATGACACAAATACATAGCAACATCTACAAAAAGAACATCCTTCACAAGAAATTTCTTACAAAACAACAAAACCAGTTTACTAGAAATCCAAACCATAGAACAAAAGAGTTCTACACAAAGCACAACATGATTGCATTGAGCTGAGACTAGACCCGACCCTCCTTGTTCCTGCCGAAGAGATCCTCAGTCTGAGCATTCTTGAAAGCACTGCCTCCGATAACATAGGTGACAATGAGGGCAACAGTTAGGTACCCAAGGTGATAGCAAAAATAGCAGCAACAATAAAATAACACACAGCCTTTCTCCCAAACTCTTGGAGGTGGTTATCTTATGAATGCTCTTCTTCCATTGAGCTTTGGAAGGGATATATCCTCATTTAAAAATTCCTCTTAAGTGATATATGCATTACACTGAATAGGCTTCCTTATTCTTTTTTTTCTTCATAATAAGTTTCCTTCATAGCCTCATTTATCAGAACCATTAGGAAAAATTTATTGCTTGTTGTACTTGCGCTGTGTAGATTCTCACTATCTCTAAAATTTTCTTCAGACTGCATGCCTGAACTGCCATTGTTTCTAGTGAAGTATATGTAATCAATTTGACATTCTATAAATCTGTACCAAGACTTGCCTAATTTCGGAATATGAACTAATCATGTTACGATACACAATTCTTTGGAACCCTGGATATGAGTTGTTACTGGTTTTAACTTTCATAATATCCTTTATTGTTTTAAATGACTATTTTCTCCATTTTATATATCATCCACAGACCATGCAGTACATTCTTTGCACAAGCTTGGAGAACAGTCCACAGACCAACCCAATCATTGCCCGTATTGATCGCAAAGCTGGGCATGGAGCTGGCCGCCCTACTCAGAAACTGGTTTAGACTCGTTCTTTGAACTTGTTAAAAGTACGTTTGTCACATTCGAAAGCTGCAGTTACCTAACCGATGGTTTTGTATCATATTGTAGATTGATAGCGCTTCAGACAGTTACGGCTTTATGGCGAAAGTGTTGGGCATTTCATGGATTGAGTAAGCTTTTCATGGAGCATTGGACTTGATGGAAAATGTATGTGTATTTCTTACGGTTACCCAACTTGCGGGGAAACTTGTGCTCTTATCTTTTTTGCAGTTCATTGGATTACACTTCCAGGTTGTGATTGTGCAGGCAATCAGTTACTCTTGGGGAGTTTATTTTCGCTGCAAGGCTGTGAAGACTGCTTGAATTATTGCTTGCAATGTGGACTCATGGAGTAAAATTTTCCTTAGGGTTCAATGGTGTACTTGGGACTTGTATTTTGTCATTATTTTTCCTGCACTGCATTTGAAATTATTCTTATCATTGTGGGCATTTTAGATTGGTGGGGCATCCAACTTAGTTGCACCCAACTTATTAGTTTATATGATCCATCATACATAATTCTTTGCTCGGATGAAGTTTATGCTTTTGCTTGATGTAATTTCCAAAAATGAAAAGCCAGACTGATTGTTGTTGCTAGTGTAAGATGCAATTGCTCGTGAAGATTCGTTTATGATAACAAGATAATGCATGGTTGCATCGAGATTCCTTTTGGGCTGTCATCAGCTGTTCTGAATGATGTTAAGATGCATTTTTATCGACCGCAGAAATTACTGGAAGCCGAGTTTTTTCGGGAAGAAAATCCTGAAGCGTTATAGGATCCGAGTCCTTTTGGAAATAACCTTCCCTTTGTGGACAAATTTTCGTTTTAGACCTCTTTGGAAACATATTTTTAAAAATCGATCTATTTTAAAAATATTCGCCAATTTCGACCTAACTTTAGTCATCTAGCTGAAACTAGGTCGAAATTGGTGAAAAATGTTTAAAAACTTTATGAGATTTGAAATCCCGCGAAGTTTAAGCTATTTATTAATAACGTTGTTAAGGGGCCTAAAATTTTACGGGATTTTAAATTTCGTGAAGTTTATATTAAACAAAATTCATAAAATAAGCAGTTATGTGCAATGGGTTTAGTGCTTATAACATTAGCTTATAAGATTTGGATGGGAAGCACATTGTTCAAATTCTAGTTTTGTAAAAATTTTAAATGTTCAAGGAAAAAATGTACTGAGATTCAAACTCAAGACCACTCGAATGATTGAAGTTTAACTTTCTTTGAGCTAATCACTTTGTTAACTATGACAACCATGTTATATTGAACTCCTCGAGATTTAAAATCCCATGGAGTTGGGCTAATTCTAAACATCACGAGATTTAAAATCCCGTGGAGTTTTCGCCACCTTAATCACGTCATTAACAAATGCCTTAAACTTTACGAGATTTTAAATCCCGTGAAGTTTTTGAATATTTTTCGCTAATTTTGACCAAGTTTCAGCCAACTGGCTGAAACTGGGTCGAAATTGGCGAATATTTTTGAAATAGGTTGATTTTTAGAAATAATTTTCTAAAGAGGTCTAAAACAAAAATTTGTCCTCTCTTTGTTGTTCAAGTGAATCCAGAAACATTTCAGGGCTGTGTTTGGCAACTATCACTTGACAAGGTTTAGGGAAACAAAGCATGGTTAAGGGGTTGAATCTTGTCAGGTAAAAAACAAGGTTATCGTTGGTCTGGTATTTTGTAGTTCAATCTTTGGCCACTAACTCAGTCTATTTTGCTCTGCCTGTTTTGCTTGTCGTTTGAGGGAAAAAAACTTGAGCCAAACAATGTCGGCCCAAGCCCTGACAATGACAAATTTAGCACACATTTCATGAAAAAAAAAACATTGACTTTGATATACATGATTTCTAAGGAGAGAGATTCTCTATTTCAGATGAGGATATAAAAAAGCTAAAATTAGCTATTCCTAAACCTCATCGTAATGATCTTTATAGGAAACCTGATATTTTTAATACCAAATTTCTTAATAAACATTATTACATTTTGGATAGAGTAGATGGAAACATCGAACTACATGTGGAAGATAGGTTTTAGAGCATTCCACTTCTCAATCAACAAAAAATAAATAAATTAAGGCAAAAATATAAAGATATGAAATATTTTCATCTTGGGCTTATCTAAGTAAAAATGACTGGACAATTTAAGTTTGATATAGATACACCTATTATGGTATTGTGTATATACGAAAGGATAATTTCTAATCCACTAGATGCTATAATAGGAGGATTTAAATCAGATCTTGCTAATAGAGTTTTATGTGTAAATATTCACCCTGACTATACTGTAGCGCTTAATGATCCTCCACACATATGTGATGTGGCAAAACTAAGTATAAATCTCAAAGAAATTGAGATGAAACCAGGATGCCGAGTTCTAGGAGTACAATGGGAATCAGTAATAGCACGTGGGCAACACTGTACCTTCTTTAGCAAAATGTCTAGAGAAGTAATTAGTTTATATGAGGTACAATCTGAAAAGATAATTCAACCTCAAACTGTAAGTTTAAATGATCTTAAAATTGATCCAGATTTGGCAATCAATTTGGATTATTTAAAACCATACAAAAAGGTACAATTGCCAGAAGAAACATTCATAATTTCTGGTGATACAATAAGGACAATATATAAAAATAAACCTAAGAGTTTCTCATTTCGAGAAAAATGCTCTACTTCGTCCTCCCAACAAGAAGAAAAAAAACCAAACTCTTTTAAGGACAAAGAGGAAGTATTAATCCAAGGAAAATCGTACATTTTCCTGTAGAAAAACCAAAAGTTCCTGTCATTACAGAGAAGTAATGCAAATAGAATCAATAAATTTAGAAAAGAAAACACAGGTAAACTGTTTTACCAGTGTAACAATAGCATTTCATGAATATAAACGCTTTATGTTCCACACCTTGATAGATACAGAAGCTAATATAAGCATTATTAGAGGTGAATTTGTTCCTCCTTATAAGAAACCCTGTGAAAAACCACAAATCATTATGTCCTTTAATGCTAAGGCAACAACCATGACTAAAAAAGTCAAATTACTAGTTATCTTTGAAACAATAGACAAGAAAGAAGTTTCTGTGACACTTTCTGCATATATTATGGAAAATGATCATATGGAAGACATTATTGTAGGAAATAACAACACATGTCGTTGGTTTCCAATAACCATAGACAAATATGTTGTTAAATTTATATTTTACCGAATGAGAAGAAATTCTCTATACCCAAAATACCTTTTATGATTAGAATAAGGAAAGCTTTCACCCTTACTCCCGCAACACAACGTGGTGAGATAAAAACCCCACCACAGCAAAAAATAAAAAGAAATTAAGCAGCTAAATTATAATATTCTTGTTGCCAATGATTTTGAAAAATTAATTCATACAATGTTGTCACCTTTGTACAGTGATAACCCCTTGTTACATTTTTATAGAAGCCCTAGATATTGCACCATCCAGATAAAGAATGAGTACACAAGAAAAAAATATTAGGGTTAATGCTAGCTAATCTTGTGGATAGAAGAGAATTTGGAACTCGAATGTTTGAGCTCTTCAAACAAAATTTAATACAAAACACATAATCAAATAATTCTTCTCCAGCCTTCATGATAAGAAACCATGCAGAGCAAAAGAGAGGAAAAGCTAGGATGGTCGTTAACTATAAAAAGGTTAATGAAACCACCAAGTTTGATGATTTCTTCATCCCTAATAGTGAATTGTTATTACATAGAATCCGAGACGCTAGATGGTTTAGTAAATTAAATGCAATGTCTGGATTCCGGCAGATTAAAATTAAGGATAAAGAAAGAAAAAGGCTAACAACATTCAACTGTCCTAATGGAGGGCATTATGAATGGAATGTTATGTCATTCGGTCTCAAAAATGTTCCACAAATATTCCAGAAATGGATGAATAGCATTTTTGGTCATTTACTATTTGTTGTTGTTTATATAGATGACATATTAGTGTTCTCTAGAACAAAAGAAGAACACAATGTACACTTGATAGTAGTAGTAAAACTATTGCTCAATCATGATGTTATATTATCCCAAAAAAGATAACTCTAATGAAAGAGGTTATCGATTTTTTGGGAAAAAGAATAAAGAATGGTCATATAGAATTACAAGACCACATAATTACCAAAATCAAAGAGTCCAAATACAAAATTGAAACTCTAAAAGACCTACAAATTAAGTTTTCTTGGCATATTAAACTATGGAAGAAGGTATATAGACAAATTTTCTAAAAAAGTTTCCTCACTTTAGAAAAAGCTTACAGAAGAACAGAGGAAATATAAAGAAATAAATAATAAAAGAGTGACCCGTTGAGACACGGATAAAATCAGAATTACATTAAATACTGAGCAATTATAAGAAATTGCTAATATCAAAAAGGAGATAAAGGAGTAGAAAATCCTTTATCAACTACAATCTGGAGATACATTAGTTATACAAACTGATACTTCAGATACACACTGGGCAGGAATCTTGCTTGCACTTCCTCCTAAACATCCATGAGTTAAATCGATATATGAGCCTGGTTCAAAGGCAAATATCAATCAATTAGATCCCAAAATATATGCATATTGCTCCAGAAAATTCAAAGGACCAGAGAAAAACTATGTAACATATGATAAGGAATTATTAGCTATTAAAAATACTATTAATTCCTTAAAAATATACTTATTATCATCTGAGTTCATTATTAAAACATATAATCAAGTTGTTTCACAATTCCTCAAAAAGAAAATAAATTCTTTAATTGAGAAAAATGTGCGCAGAATTAGATGGTCCATGGAATTAGATAACTATATTTATAAAGTTCAATATATTCCTGGATTTACTAATATTGGTGTTGATTTCCTTTTCAAACATGAATAGTTCATCCAAACAACCGCCAGATAAAGATAAAGGCAAAGCACCAACTCCTCCTTAGGTAGAGGTAAAGGAGCAAGGTAAAGAAACTAAACTTTCACTACATCAAGAAATTTCTGAGGCCCTAAATGAGAATTTAGGACCAGAAATAGAAAAACAAGATATTCTTATAATATCTCGGTTTCTTACAAATCCTGGTAGCTTTAGCATCAGAGGTTATGATGAAACAATGAAACCTTTAAGGTCCATCCGTGACGCCCCTGGGTTCACACAAGGCTGCAGTCCAAGGTGAAACCAAGAATGTCAAATCCGCCATGCACCACACCGTGCAATAACATGTTTCACCATCACAATTCTATCACTCTAGTAGAGTCAATAATAGGTGTAGGTACAAAAGCAAGTAAAAGATAACACAAGAGATAACTGATGAAATGATAGAGATCAAAATAATATTTCATCATCCAACATACAGAAATACAAAGTCAATGTCTGAAATGAATAAACTGGAGTTTCTTAACAAGTCTCAAATACAACAAGTCTGAGTAAAGGAAATGAGGCATACAACCTTTACAACATCTAGAAAATAGTCTTAAAATGTCTAACAACAACTACAATGGAGCTCCAAAATAAAACATAGCTAAAATAGATAACTGAACACTAAAGTGTGTCGCTATCAACCTGCGACTCTCCGGGCTCCTGGCTCGTTACCTGAAAGGGGGAGG